TTGATTCATTAATTTTTAAATTGGGTCCATGCGCGTCTTTCTCTTCTTTTAGGGGGCGACCTGAAAGAGTCTAAAAAAAGCATCTTATGCCCTGCTGCTGCTGGCGGCTTATCAATTGTTTGCGCTGCGAATACATATAAGTATTTAGTACATAATGAAATCATTCTTATCGCTGCTCGCAATCAGAGAGGGAAAGCCAAAGAGAGAACGAGGGGGGAGAGAGAGAGACTGAGAGCTCCTGTTCCAACGACTGTAGCCCCTTTTGTCTGCTAACAGCATTTTTGAGTCGAGTAAACAACAATATTAATAAATATTGTTGCTGTTGCTGTTGCAGTTTTCCACTTGAGTCGCATAAGTGCCACTGCACTTATTTCATAATTGATTGGAAATTAAAGGGAAAACTCTTTACAATTGATTAACTGAATTACTTTTAATTTGGCTGCGATTAAATACTTGATATACGTACTTGAGCCCAGCTTTTGTTAATTATCAGCATCGAGTGTCGTGTGTTGTCGTTAAGCCAAATGAATTCGAGTTTCAATTAATTGCCTGAAACAATTGCGAATGCAAATATTTACAACCTTTTCATGAAAGGTTGAATTTTACGCTTGTTCTGGTTCTGTTTTCAAACGAATCCGTTTAAATGCACATTGTTAAATTCCTAATTAAAATTTGTACACAGCCATTAAGCCGTTAACAGCATTTACGCATCTGCAGCAATTCTCAATTGATTTGATCTCAATAGTTGCCTGCAGCAGTTGGTGCAGTAAGCAACAAGCAGCGAACAGCAAATGCCAGCAGATATATCTGTATATGTATAGATTTATTTATCTAGATAAAGATTAATACACTTACATGCCCGACAACAACGAGTGCTGCTGTTGCCACTCACATCATCGTCAATTCAATAACAACAGCAACAACAAGAGCAGCAGCAACAACACATATCACATCATCAGTTTGGAAATAAAAATGAAAATACTCTTGCAGCGGGTATTATTAATTTGTCAGCAAATGTAATGATGATGTAAAGAAATAAGCATTCAATTTTAGAGTCTATGTATAAATGATCGATATGAGCATTATATATGAATTCTCAGATTATAATCCCTAAATTTGACTTAGGGAAAAGTAAATCAGAAAGTTTAAAAAGAAATAAATCTAAGAAAGTAAAAAAAAAAAAAAATAAATTGTAAAGAAAATTTAAATTAAATATAAAAAAAATAAATAAAAATAAAAAATAAATAAAAAATTAACTAAAAAATTATAAATAAAAAATATAAAATAAAATAAAATAAAATAAAATAAAAAAAGATAAAAAAAATAAAGTAAAAAGATAAAAATAAAATAAAAAAAGATAAAAATAAAATAAAAAAGATAAAAAATAAAATAAAAAAGATAAAAAAATAAAATAAAAAAATTTAAAAATAAAAAAAAAAGAATAAAAAAGAAAAAATAAAAAATAATTAAATAAATTACAAAAATCGAAGTCGAATCGAATATGCATAACAGAGTTATATATTCTTATAAACCTGTTAACCAACATCGCTTCCAAAACTTTTTATAGAGTATATGATATTCGTTCTGACACACTTAGCCTTGCCTTTTTGCTAATAAAAGCCAAACTGCGCCACCAGTAGGTGGGTGGTCGCCTCAGGGCTAGAATTGCGCCATTTTCAATATATATACGTATATACATATAGAAATACCTTTATATAATTGTCTATATAATTCAGGTTAAATTGTTGAGATATTCGTCTATGAGTGTGCCTAATAAATCTACAATCTGATCGTCTAATTTACGAGCATCAAATTACGCTCGAGGGCGTGGTTAGAGCGCAGGCATGAAGCATATGATAATTGGCTGCTGGCTCATCAATTACACAGCTGTTGGCAAGAGCTCAACTAGCCGGGCCCCGCTATCAGTGTGACCTGTTGTCAGTCAGCTCTCGACCGAAAAGACCTCCCTCCTCTACTGGTATTTTGGTATTTGAAATGCCTTTGACTGTTGCCGCCGCTAAGCAGTCGCTCATGCTGCCGTTGCAGTTGGCAATCTGGCTGGGAGTCTGGCTGATTGGTTTATCGTGGCGAACTCAGGCGTGTCGCCTTAGGTCATATTACGTCTTTTGTGCGCTTGTGCATTTGTATTTTGATTTTCTTACTTCTCTCCACTTTGATTATAATTTTGCTGGCGCTCCACTCGACTCAACTCGACTTGGCTCGACTCGGCGAAACAGAAAATAATAATTTTGACTTTGAAAGAATGTTTTGTGCATTGAATTGAATTTGGTTTATGAGTCAGCCTTGCCATTAATGTGATTTAAATTCATATGAGATCAACTTGTGGCATTAAGACTTTCAGCTTAATTTGTTATTATTATTATTCCTATATTATATTTGTTATAATTGTTGCTCATTTCCTGTCATTTCTTTCCGTTTCAGTTCAACTTTGTTGGTCGCATTTTGGGACCGCGCGGCATGACAGCCAAGCAATTAGAACAAGAGACTGGTTGTAAGATAATGGTACGCGGCAAGGGCTCCATGCGGGACAAAAAGAAGGTGAGTTTTTTACGCACATCTGTGCTCTATATGGAAGACTCAGGTCCAGAAAAATCGTGAAAAACTATAAAAGCAATACAGAGGAATTTAAAATTTCATTGAATTAACACTTTAAATGCCAATCAAATATCATCCCACCACTGCATAGTTTGCATGCCAATCTAATAGCGCCAATCACCCACGCAGAGCACACACACACACACACACACACCACACACACATACCCAGAGAGCTAGCTATTACTATGCAATCAAAGCACATGGCAAATTCAATTTAAGATGGTATTTTTCTGTCGAAAATTCCGGTTGACATTCGGTTGCTGAGCCAAAATGAAAATGATTCCCAATTAAGAGACAAGTTTAAGTCCAATATGAATAATTGAGTCGTATACACATCAGATTAGCAGCCAACAAAAAATGACAGTTCTTAAATAGAAATATCAAATATTAGATAATATAAGTTGTTCATTTCATTTAATTCTAATATATAGTCAAAAAATTTGTCACTCCTCAGCACTCAGGATGATTTAATTTCCTCTGGCGTACGTTAAACAAACAAGAAAATAAACAGAGCTAACATGATTAAATGTATTTTCGTAGTTTACCAATGTGGAGCGCATTTTAAGCAAACACACACAGAGAGCGAGAGAGAGATAGAGAGAGGGAGGGGGTAGAGAATGAGAGGGATACACACAATAAACACACATAGTCGGAGCAGACAAGCCATATAAAAGTGAACACTTTTATAGCATTGCAATATTTTGATAATTTAGTAGCTATACACAGTGAGTGAGCTGACACCCACTCAGGTGCTCAGTGTGGACGGCTTGCCTGGCTGGCTGGCTGGCTGGCTGACTTGCTGATATAACGTCAGCCAAAATATATATATATGTGTGTGTGTGTGTGACTCATGATATTTTCATGAAAATGACAAGCGAGTAAAGCCAGCAAAAATGTTTACTAGCTGCAGTCAAACAAGAGATGGAAATACAAAAATATCTACACACACACATTCGCATATATTTTGCAGCAGAAACCCCTTAATATATACATATATATCTGAATACATATAAATCAGTCTCCATGCAACTGTTTGAATCAGATGTGTCCACTAAGTTGGCTCATTTTGCCGCTTGACAGTTCGTAATTTGACAAGTGGCTGGCTGGTGGCTCGAAATTAGCCAGGCACTGGACTGGCTGGCTGTCTGACTGTCTGGCTGTCTGTCTGTCTGATGAGCCAACTTCAAAAGCCAACTAAACTGACAGTTTCGCCTGGCACTTTGAGCTTAATTGATTAGAAAATTTTCAAAATTATATTTAAAAGCATGAGCAGTATATATCCATGCATATAAATAATGTATGTATTCAGTGCTTTCTTTCGCATTTTGGGTCAAAAGTTAATGAGCTGAGCAAGTCGCGGAAGCCTTGGGTTAACCATTAACAAATATTAAGCACATATTCTCACACATTTCGAGCGTGACAGCCAACAGTGCCTGTGGGCATTTGGCGTGGCCGCAAACTAAAACCGCCCCAGTCGAATTTTCAAATTTCGAACATTTCACAAAATCCATTTTACTGTGTGGCCACAATTAATTGTTTGTGGCCATTAGCGAACACATGCGCCACAAAATGTCCTCGGGCCACGGGCATTTCGCTGCAATTCGTCCGCATTCCAACTACACTTTGGCCGAAATGAGCGAAATAAGACAAGGCATACGATTTTATTGGCATTCACGTTTGCCGGGTGACGTTCATTGCCAATAAACTGTTGCCGCTTGTAATTGTAGTTGTGGTTGTGTTTGCGGTTTGCACTAAAAGATATATGCAAATATTTAGGTAGTACTCTCTCTATATATGCATAAGAGTGAGTACTAAGTCAATAAATACATAGAAAAATGGCTGATATAATGCTGTAGTTTTTATACGAAAAGTGATATATATACATACGAATGGGATTTCATTATATATATGTATATACAAATAAATGTTTACAAATATTATACTACAATATATAATATATAGCATGTATACCAAATTGGTATAATTAATTCCTTTAGATTTATAGCTATGATTATTCAATCAAAATGTATAAAAACTTAAATATTCCGGCAGTATTAAACTGCTTTCAAGTATATAATTTTTATAAGCAGAAAGATTAGAGCATTAGTCTGCGCTATCATAAAAACATTTGCTAGTATAACTGTGTGCTTAAATAGTTATTGTATAGAGAAAATATCAACTTAATCAGATTTTACACAATCTGCCACAATTCAAATGAAATTATATTATATATTATAAAATTTCTTTTATGCCTTGCAGGAGGATGCCAATCGTGGCAAGCCCAACTGGGAGCACTTGTCTGACGACTTGCACGTCCTGATTACCGTCGAGGATACCGAGAATCGCGCCAAAGTCAAATTGGCTCAGGCTGTCGCTGAAGTGCAAAAGCTGCTCGTGCCGGTAAGTGGATGCGTAATAGCTATAGCAAATGCCGACTGGCACTCTGCAAGTCTATCTTCCAACTCCCCATTCCTTCAATTAAAAAACAAAAATAAGAAAATTAATTTCAAAGAAAAATACAAAACAACAAGAGAGCAAGAGCAAGAATTAAGATGTTAAATTGTTTGGCATGTTTTTAATGCCAGTTGCCTATTTACATATATTGATTAATCAATTTGCTGTACCTATCTATCTGTATAAAATCAATAAATAAATAATTATCTCATTGCTAAAATTGTTAACCGAAATATTAATAATAATATTTTTTGTATATTTTCATTTCTTTTACCAATCTAATATGCTTTGATGTATTTTGTTTAATACATTGAAACCAAATATCTACTACCACTACTACACAAAAACAAAAAACAACACACACACACACATACACACATACACGCGCCAACACACACATGCGTACGCGTACTTGTACTAACAGCAAGCCGAAGGCGAAGATGAGCTAAAGAAACGTCAACTTATGGAATTAGCCATTATTAACGGCACATATAGGGACACAACAGCGAAATCAGTCGCAGGTACGTCAATCAATCAAGCTCTACATATAAGTCAACAACTATTTATACTCAAACAAACAAAAACAACAAAAGAAGCAAAACGAAAAAAAAAAGAGAAACAACTTTTGTCTAATACCAACAGCTAATCCCAGTACTGACCAAAAAAGAAATAAAATGATTAAACATCCACCCGGCTTCGATGGCAATCCGCAATGCATAATTGCTGTGTGCTCTATAAAAAAAAGCCAATCGAATCCGATTGAGATAGCGATAGTCGTGCTTGCTAATCCGTCTAACCAATAATGATATAATGAATATGTTTTCCTTTGAATTTACATGGATTTTCTATACGGACAGCTTTCTCATGCGTTGGTTCTCCTTCTGCTTCTGTTCTGTATCCCGCAGTGTGCGAAGAGGACTGGCGCCGTTTGGTTGCTGCATCGGATAATCGCCTGCTGACACCCACATTGTCCGGACTGGCCACCCAGATACGTAATCCCGCCAGTGCACCGCTCGGCGCACCATTGATACTTAATCCACGAATGACAGTGCCGACATCAGCGGCCAGCATACTGTCCGCCCAGGCGGCGCCGACGGCCGCCTTCGATCAGACCGCCCATGGCATGATCTTTGCATCGCCATACACCGACTACGCGAACTATGCAGCACTGACCGCCAATCCTCTGTTGACGGAATATCCAGATCATAGCGGTGGGTTATTTGCTAGATAAACTACTTAACTACCATATCGTATCTCAATAACTACAAATTATGATTTTCAATCAGCTAAATATTGATTCAATATACTCTTAACTATATGCGCCATAACTGTTGACACCAGCAAAAAAAATACAAAAAAACAACAAACAAAAAACACACACACATGCACACACACACACATCATTTCGAAAATTACACCAACAAGAGCAAAAAAAAAAGTAATATATGAACATCTAATAAGCCAGTTTATGAGGCGAGTCATAGATCAATTGAGTTATGGTTAGCCAAAGTTTTTAACTTCTATTACCGAGCCAAACAGCGAGCAATAATACTTACTTACAACACTTACACAAACTCACGACAGTATAAAGTTAGTCAACGACTAATTTGAGCTAAAAAAAAAAGAAAAGAGAAGAAGCTACTTTTGATTTAAAGCGTTTACAATTCCGCCGAGAATAGTCCATAAACTTGTGCACATTAAGCATACGCCCAGTTGCATGCTCAATTTATTAGCCAGCATTATTTCTTGTTTATTTATTTGGCTTTTCATTTTCAGTTTGTTTCATAATCAAACAATTGCCAAGTCACATTTATTAATTTGTTATTTGCATACTCTTGCAGAGGCGTATTCGTTATTTGATTCATAGATATAGTATATCTTCAATAACTGACCATATCTCTCTCTATTTAAAAGTCTACAGATATAGCTTTTTCCATTTGATTGCTTTTAGTTTTCTGTAAGGGTATTGCAATGTCGGTGTTTTGGCCGAATCTGTTGCTGCTTGCTTATGATCAAATAGAATTATGATTAGATTTGTGCAATGCCTAAAAATATGCAATTCAAACTTTGATTTTTTTTTCGCACGCTTTTAACCCTTTGCATCGCTTGCTTTTGATTATAATTTTGATTTTGACTTAACTCGATTAAAATTTGCGTTTATTTAATTCTGCATGAATCGCACAGCTAACGATCACATTTTTAATATATATATATCTCTATAAGAAATAATAATTAATTTCATTCCTGAATTTATACCTTTATTCTTTTAATTTTTGTTTATCTGAATTCTGATATCAAAAAATATTTACAGTTGGTCGATATATGCATGCCGGCTCCGTCTTTTGAACTTTTTTTTGTTTGCGTGCACCATGAATTTATTGATTGAAGTCCATATAAATTGTTAGTTTTTAGTACCAGCTTAATCTGTATATGTATTTATGTATGTACATGCATCGATATGTATGTGCGTATGTACATAAATGCAGCAAAAAAGAAGCAAGATTCTGGCGTTGACAGTGCACAACACAGGACATATTCAATAGATATTGAACGTAGTAATACTACATATTTAACTATAGCTACGTATATACATACATAAACACACACTTGAACATATATACGATTATAATTTATTTAGCAATGCACAACAACAAGAACAACAACAAATACTCAAATAAACAACTGCAGCTTCTCTGTAAGAAACAAACAAACAACTGAAAATATTGAACAAAAATGAAAGAGAGTAAAAAAAAAAAAATTACTCAAGTAAATATGATTATTGCTCGTCGAGAAATTTTTTGTTAGTTGATAGGTCGCAAACATTTCTAAAAAAAAAAACTGGCAGCTAACGATTGAAAAATAAGTGATTTTTAGGCGCTTAGAGGCAGATTTTTATTTTCATTTTATTTTTATTTTTGTTTTTTTATTTTTTTTATAATTAATGTTTTGGGTTTGTGTTTCGTCAGCTCTCTTCAAACAATTTGCAAATTTTCTACTTGGGAACATGAGTATATTCTAGTTGACAACAGCTGCAACAACAACAACAACAAACATAATGACGACAGTGAAGCAATTTGTTGGTTGTTGTTGTCGTTGTTGTTTTGGGAACAATGAGTATTCTACTTACATACATACTTACATACATACATACATACATACATAGACATGCATATTACTTAAAGCCGTCAACCAAGTTGCTGCAAGTTTTTTGTTTAGCCATTTAAGTAGTATATTTACAGATGTCTATGTTTTCTAGTTTTTTTATTTATATATATATATATATATACACATATTCACATACGCTTAGGTCTTGAATAACTTTTGTTATTTATTTACACTTCTCTTTGATTTAACGGTGTAGGTTGATGTTTATTTGAGTTGAATTTCTTATACTCATTTTTAAATTTTATTTCTCTTTCCTTTTTTGTTGGGTTTTCTATTTGAATTAAGTGCAATGTCTAGCTAATAGCTAATTAGTTTTGTGTGGTAGCAGTTAAGCGCAGTATTTATGCACACGTGTACCTTACGACAAGTTCAAGTTAAACATTTGATTTCCGTACCGTTTGATTTTTTTCCAGTCAGTGCCATTTATATTTCGTTTGGTAGCAATTGGCTAACAGCCGCACGTCGATTTTTTGTAGCATTTTAAAATATATTCAAATATAAATATATATAGATACATACGTACATATATATTAAACATTTTATAGTAGTGTATAGATGGAGCCTTGAATCGAGTTGGTGCTTAAACATTTTTGTAGACATAAGTTAGTTGAGGTTCTCAGGCAGCCGTCCAACAATATTTTGCACAACTAGTCAGCAAAAAGCGCGCATCAAATCACCAAGCAGACAGACAGACAGCTGGAGGAATGCTAAAGAACTGTAAAATCAATCATAATAATAATCATAATAAACATTTATGTATAGATATTCAGTAGGCTAGTTTGAGCTGAGCTGCCTTAAAGATCACTTATTTCGTCGACGTTAGGCCCAGTAGCAAAACAATAAGTAAAACAACATAAATACGACTCATTCCAAAGAAACAGAATTTAAATCTAAACAAAGCAAAGCAAACGAAAAGCAAGTGCAATTAACAATTTACAATAAATGTATTTAATTGTTTAAAATAATTGAAATTGGTATTTAGTAAATGAAACAGTGTCAGTGTTCCAACAGCAAATGCAAATTGTGTGTTGTTTAAGAGAGAGGAGGAGGAGGAGGCAAAAAGAGCAAGCATAAGAAAAAAATATATATTTCTTTCAATTATATACCATAATACATATATAAGTTTTGTAGACAATATACATATATACATACATGCATACCTGTCCACCTGTCCAGCTGTCCAGCTGTCCACCTGTATGGCTGTATGTATATGTATATATTAATTGCCTTGAATATTATATATATAATCCCTATATACCAATATAAACATATATAAATATATATCCATGTATACCAATATATATATATATATATTTATTTATGCACATATCTACATGTATCGTATCGTATATTTTAGTAGGCGCCCTTAAGCAGCAACGTCGTTTGGCGGCTAACAGAGAACACCCCTATCAGCGTACGACGGTCGGAGTGCCAGCCAAGCCGGCGGGTTTCATTGAAATACAGTAAAAAACTAAAAAAAATAAAAGCAGCACACTAGCAACGACAGCAAAACAATTTCTTGTTTCATCATATGAAACAAAAACAATTCATTAAAAAAAAAAAAAATGTATTTATCTAAAACAAGTTATTTAAATTTTATTTCACTAAATGCTTACAAAAAAACGATGAGTGTTATCGTGGGCCGCCATTATTATAAAAAAAAAACATTGGTCCTTAATCAATTTAGTTAAATTATGTTAAAAATATATTTTATTTATTTTTGTTTTGCATTCAATAACAAAAACAAAATTTCATTTTAATTAAAGTCTTCGAACAATTCTTAATCTAAATTCAAATTCAAACCAAATGCTGTGTGCCCTCCTGCTGTATGCACAATGAAACCCAGCCAGTCCAGTTGGCCAGGCCGGTCTGTGCAGCTCCGTAACTCAGTTAACTCAGTCCAATAATAACTCAAGCGCCTAACAGGTTAGTTGTGTTTCTACTCATCTATACAAATTGTTTTTTCTATATTACATTTAATATTTCCACACGAGGTGCAGTTGGCATTGTCCATCCTCCGCGACAATGGCAGCTGCACCTCTGCTGCGAGTTTTGATTCGTTTTCCAATCACTCACAAGAGATAAATAAATAAAATGAAAAAATATCTGAATATCTGAAAATATTAGTGCAATAGACAGAAAGTAAAGCCGCTTTAAGCTGTCAAGTATAAAGAATAACGCAAAGAGAATATCACGTTGTTTTTTATTATCTATTTTGTTAGTTTATTTTATTTCTTTGTTGACGACGTTGACTTGTGCCTTTGATGTTTTATAAAAACGAAAAGAGAATGAAAATAAAATGAGAAAAAAAATATAAGAAAAATGAATATATCGGTGAGAAATTCGTATAAAATTTCTACTGCAGACTCGAAAGCAAAAGCAATTTAGTACACTTTGTATTACTCTTTCTTAAGCCATATAATTATTATTATTATTATTATTATTATTATTATATTATATATATATCTATATCTATTGTATCTATGAATTATGAAATATGAATTTTATATGTGTATTTAGCGTTTAAGGCCCTGTTAGTCTGTAACATTTACCTTGTATATCATTTCAAAATGTATGTTGCAATTGAACCGAAAGTGTACCAGAATAAAGATCAATGACTTTTGTTGAAGTGCAACCCGAACACAGAAAACAAAAACAGCAAACAGCAAAAAATGCAATCAAGTCTTATGATTTCGTGTCTACAATGATTTTGGAAATGCCATCCGGGCATTCAAAAACAACGAAAAATCTTCTAACGCTTTCCAAACTTAACACTCCTATGTCGTCTCGCATAACTCATTGATCACCCAAAAGAAGACAATATATATATGTATATATATATATATATATATATATTAAATTCATAATTTTACTATAATCAAGAAAATGAAACACTTAACTTTTGTTTGCAACTCTAGTGCCTTAACTTAAGTACTTAACTTTAGTCCTAAGCTCTGTGTACGCGCACTTCTAGCCAGCGTGGGGCCTGATGTACTACTCTAACTACTACTACTAGCACAACCACCACCGCAACCACAATTGCAACCAACAACAACCACTACCATATATACTAGTCCGGGGCATAACTCTATGCTTAACGTCTGTCTCATCTACCCACTTCTTACACACACACACACACACACACATACACATATTAAACTCTCTCCTTAGTATTTAATTGAATAATGAAAATAATTGCAACGATTTGAACAGCGACTAAGCCAAATACCAAATACCAAATCCAAGTCTCCACCCACTACCACTACCATGTATACATATAAAAAAACCTAAAGATATATCTTGATGTGTATTTAACAGACTTAATCTATAAGCTTAATACGGTTCTGGTATCAGTAATACATATGTTTAATATAATAATATCTATCTAGACTAGTAAGATGAATACTTGTGTAACGTTCTATAAAATTGCATTTGCATTCGCTTACAAATCCTGATATAACTTTGCACACACAAACACAAACACACACACACACATACACTTACATACAGAACTATACAAATACAGATTACTAAATTGATTCTAATGCCATGCTGAAGAATGTCTTTGATTACGAATATTTGAATAAATAAAAGAAAACAAATTCCCTTACATTCAATTTAAAACAATGTAAATAACGCTTTACCTTGGCATTTAAAAAACAAATACTATTATTTAAACAAATCGATAGCCAATGCACCTGCAATTTTATTTTATATTTTTTTCTCTAATCTTTAAATTTTTTTATACTCTTTAGCATTTACATATGTATAAAAACCATAAAAATATCAAATGATATGTGATGTAATATTATTGCTAATTTCAACTAACCAAAGGCCAAGTTAACTAAACAAAGAAATTAAAAGTAAAAGAACAAAACAAATCGAACGTACAGAACAAAACAAAATTTTTAGTAAATGAATGTGTACGTTGTTTTTGTAAATTACTCGTGCAATTCCTTTGCAGCGTCTTGAATAACCAATAAATGTCTCTTAAATAACAGTTTGATAAAACAATAAACAATATACATTTAATACACATCGATTTGCACTATCTACGATTTAGTATGTGTTTGTTGTCTACATCAACTGAAAATGTAGTAAACTCAAGTACTGCAAACAGAATGTTTTTTTTCTTTTTTTCATTTTATAGATTTTATTTATTGTTGAGAAAATCAATTTGTTTTGTTGCAAAAAAAAAAAAAAAAAAAAAAAAAAAAAAAAAAAAAAAAAAAAAACCAAAAAAAAAAAAAAAAAAAAAAAAAA